CTTCTCTCTTGGGGACCAGCGACACTCTTCTCTGATCTGCCCCACTGGGGGCTTCTGCTTCACTCCTCACTGCTGTCCCTCCACTAACCCCTTCCTTCCCCCACTTTCCTTCTTTCCTGATGAAAAAAATAAAGGGCACATTTGTTTTTGAAAAACTAATACCTCTGTATTTTTATGTGGTGTCAAAGAGACTGGGGAAAGAATTTGGGAGAAAGGAGGAGAGAACTGGAAGGAGGAGGAGGGGTGAGGAGAGGCTCAGGGCTAGGGCTAGGAGTGGCACCAGGCTCTGTTGATCCCACTTCTATGGGTGCGGGGGCCTCGGCATCCATGGCGAGGGGAGAGTGTTGAGGGAGAAGCGGGGTGGGGGGTGGGAGTGGGAGGAGGAGTTACAGCAGGAGTGGGAGCAGAAGCTGGAGCAGGAGCAGGCATCATGTTCAGGACAAGGAAGTGCACATCCGCGCACATGGAGTGGCCCTGCACAAGCAGCTCCTGCCAGCTCGCCCAATGCAGCTGCAGGTCCTCCTGGACCCAGCCATGGATGGTCTGCTCCAGGGATCAGAGTGCCACCAGGTGCTGCTGCTGGAACTCGTCCATGGGACGGTGGTGCCTGTGGATGCCTCAAGTGCGGGAGGCTATGTGGTGTCGACCGTCCTCCTCTCGTAGCTGGTGCAGATGTGAAAAATAAAGAAAGATGGTCAGTTATCCTAGGAGACACTCACCTGAAGCCTAGCTCTCATCTGTGAGCCAAGAGCGACAGTTCTTGGCTCTGTCGCAGGTGATGTGCTTGGAGTAAGGACATGTGCACTGTGGCCCATGGGCCCAGATGTTCCTGGGAGTGGGTGCTTCCCCGAGATTGTGGGCATGCCCGTGTGCCATGTGTGGGACTGCTGAGTGTGTGTGTGGATGTCCCCTGCCTCCTTCTAGAGGTGGCTTGTGGAGGGAAGGTGTCCCGCCCCTGGGGTCAGGAGCATGGCAGGCCTCTCCAGACAGCCTGTGACCAATAGCACAAAGGTCCTCTGTGGCAGCCTCCTAGTGCTGTGTGCCCTGGAGCAGCATGGCACATGCTCCCATATGCACAGGTTGCTGCACGATCTGCGGATAGCAAGGGCCAAGAGTGGAGTGTCTTGCTCCTTCCCCGCCCTAGCCATTCCCTCCACCCCCTGTATGATGGGAAAGTGATGGCACTCACATGATATACTTACCCTAGCCTTGGATGACACCTGGGACACGTCCACAGGGAGGGTTTTGAGCTGCTGGGTCAGCTGGGTGGTGATGCTGGCCTCGTCTGGGTCCTGCTCCTGCTCCTCATTGTCTCTCCCCCCACGCGGACAATGACGGGCATCTCGAGCCTGAAATCTACAACCGGGGGAGAAGGGACTGCCCCACGCTCCCAGGATGTCGTCTAAGTCAGTGTAATAAAGACAGGTGGGGGGCTCTGTCCCAGAGTGGGAGTTGCCTTCCTTGGCCCTGGCATAAGCTTGGCAGAGCTCCTTTAACTTCAGCCGCACCTGTTCTTGGGTGCAGATGTGTCCTTTTATGGCCAGGCTGTTAGCCATCCAGCCATAGACGTTCATATTCCTGTATCTGGTGTGGAGAGCCTGGAAGTTGGTCTCATCACCCCAAACCTCAATAAAGTCCAGGATCTCCACACCAGACTAGGAAAGTGCATGTCTTTTTTGGCTTCTGGCAGGCTCCTGGGAACTGTCTGACTACTCCTGGGAGCAGTGGAGGGCTGGGTGAGAGCAGCAGACTGGCTCATTTTAGGGGCACAAAGAGACAGGTGCAGCTACAGGGTTGCTCAAGGCTGTCAGGCCTATTGTGAGCCACAAACCCTTTATATAGAGGCTGCAGCTTTAAGGGATCTGGGGGGCGGGAAGGATAGAGTTTTGCTGAGTGTGGACAGAGCGGCCAGCAGGGCACCCTGGGAAGGGCTGGAGGCCCCCTATTTTGAAATAGCAGCTATTTCCTGTCTACACAGTCCCTGTTCTGAAATATCTATTTCAGAAAAGGTGTTATTCTTCATAGAATGAGGTTTACAGAAGTCGGAATAAGCTGTCCACTATTTTGAAATTATTTCTAAATAGCAGATTTGCTGTATAGACACTTGCATAGTTATTTTGGAATAACAGATGTTATTCCGAAATAACTTTGTGGTGTAGACACACCCAAATTAGCCAACATGTCCAACTTCTAGCCACAGGAGTACCACAGGGCTGCACTTGCATTTACCGCCGCGCTTCCAAATATTGCTTCACTTCCATATACTGCTGCACTCACATTATGTCCTGATATACCCCTATTTACCCACATCCTCATGCAAATCCAATTAACCAATATTACCAGACATTTGCTTATCCTGAACATCAAGATTTCTTTACCTGAGGAGTTAACATAGATTGAAAAAATGCTTGTTACATTTAGGAACACTAAATATTTATATTTACTGAAACATGTAGTCATTTTATGTATATTGTTACATACATTCTGAGATTCTTCATAAAAATATCTGGACAGTTTTTTTGGTATGCATATGCAGCTTTACATGTAACCAGGTTTTTTTTTTAAGTTGCATTCTAAGTGGGAAATTGAATGACAGTTTTGGAAAAATATCTATTACTAGCAGACTTACCCCATGTTGTCTGGATTCTTTAGGACAGGGGTGCATGTGCAGGATTCAGAGCAAGGCTTATGGGGATATGGAGAGGGGCGAGTGCAGGAGGCTGGGAGTGGGAGGATATGACAGTGAGGTTTGGGGGATAAGGAGGGGCTCAGGGTGGGAGTCCCATTTGGAATGGGCCTTTTCTTTCCCCCAATGCTCCTCCAGCCCCTAGGGATGTTTTCTGTCTCCCCCAGCCTCCCGCAGCCACCAAGGATTCAGAGCAAGGCTTATGGGGATATGGAGAGGGGCGAGTGCAGGAGGCTGGGAGTGGGAGGATATGACAGTGAGGTTTGGGGGATAAGGAGGGGCTCAGGGTGGGAGTCCCATTTGGAATGGGCCTTTTCTTTCCCCCAATGCTCCTCCAGCCCCTAGGGATGTTTTCTGTCTCCCCCAGCCTCCCGCAGCCACCAAGGGCATTTTTCTCCTCCTCCCCTTTCCCCCCCACCCCCTCACACCCCTCTTGCTGCCAGAGGCCTTTTTCTCCCCCCACTCTGGCATTGTGGCAAAGGGTTAAGACATGGGGGAATGGTTTTGGGCAGGGGAGCTACTTATTTAGGGTGCTGGTAGGCAAAATGGCAGAGCCCCAGCACTGCTGGCCACTCCCTTGTTGGTATGTCTGCCCCCAGAGGACACACTGCATGATAGCTCCCCTGTGGGCTCACTATCCTAATTGGCCACTCTTATATTGCGTCCTCCCTTGGCATGTTATGGAAAATAGTCCTTTTCCAGGGTTTCTGGTTATCCTGGCACAACCAAATCCTGACCTTGCTTTAAGTTAGGAGAAGAAGAATCTGTGTATCAAATTTGGTGGCCCTAGTTCTTACTGTTTAGGACGAGTTCTTGAAGAAACAGGTTTGCAGACAGACACAGAGAGAGATAGACACACTAAAAGATTTTTTGTGCCAAACAAAATGCCCATGTTGTCTTACTGATGCTAAGGTTATTAAGAATTTTCACCAAAGTCAGTTGCACCTTGAGTATGTGTTTAATATTGCTCTGGATACTGTATTAGTAGAAGCTCTGCAAATCCATGGATATCAGCTTTATATCTGAAAGAATCCTCATCTGTGGATATGGGTGCAGATATCCATCTCTCGTTTTTGCAGATATAGATGTGGATGCAGATACAAAATGTTTTATCCATGCAGGGCTCTATATATTAATCACTTTACCAGGTCTGATCCAGAAGTCCCCAGAGGACAAAACTTCCATTGACTGAAATGGAGACTATCGGCCATATTTTTAAAAGATATTTAGGAGCCTAAAGAAGCCGACAGGCACTTAATGGATTTTTCAAAAGCACCTCAGTATCTAACTGCCACACCCAACAGTCCTCCCCAGGTCCATATAACAGTCCCCCACTCTCCCTTGGCTCAGCTTCCATCACCCCTCAGCTCCTCTTCCCATTCCTGTCTAGAGACTGTCTCAGTCTTCCTGACTCCCCACCTTCATAGGCTCAGCTTCTCACCCTCTTTGCTTTCCAGTTAAGCTATTCCTCCACCTTGCTGCTGGAGTGCCAACAGTGGGAAGTGAGAATACCAGGGAGATAGTCTTCCTGCCCTCAGTTCTTGTGCCCATTACCACTGCAGTCTCTTTCTGCCAGTAGCAGCTATTGCAGGGAAAGTTCCCTACTCAGCCACTGTAGCTCTGGAATGGAGCATGCTCAGTATAAAGGGAATGTTAGGAGAATTTAGCTGCTAAACACTAATAAATATCTACTCAATGCATGTGAACTCATAATTTGGCCAAATATTCCAGAATTTTCATAGGCCCACCATGATGTTAGGGTGATCCTCCTCCAAATTTCAAGTCCCTGCTCTAAAACATGGAGATGCTAGAACATCCTGACAAAAATGATTATACCATTTTTTTTAAATGGGAAAATAAGTTATTTTTTCCCTAATATTCTGAGAAATACCTAAGCTATTCTTGATGAAATTGTTAAACAAGCAAACAAAAACCTACCTGGCATGGAAAAATTCAAATCAAATGGTTGAAATTTGGCAAAGTTAGACCCAACTGAAAACAGCGTTTTATAAAGTGTCATGAAAGCTACAATAAAAAGTAAAAGACTGCATAATTTACAGTAAAACTGTAAAACAGTAAAACTGTGTGAAAACTATGTAAGCCTCAGTCCTGCAAGGAATTCTGTACTAGCAGATACTAGGCCTGAGCTGAGCTCCATTAAAGTCAATGAGGCTTTGTATGGCTACAGGGAACCTCCCACAGGGCACTCCTTACAGTATTCAGGTCAGTTTGTTTTCTTTTTAACTGCTAGAATATCTATTAAATTGTTCTGATTATTTTAACTGAAAAATATATATTTAAATTCTCCATTTACCTGCTGAATGAAGAGCTCCTGGGGACTTTCTGGCTTATTCCATTTTCTTATGAACTGTTCTGTAGTGTGCCATTTGAATAATCTTTCCTGTTTCGTTTTCCGTCAGAGGACTAAACAAAGACTAAACGTTCTCTTCTCACGTTGCTCTAGTACTCCCTAATGCCATCTTTAATTTTCTGTTGGGTTTGCAAGCATAGGTGTATTGAGTATTGAGGATTAATAAACAAACTTCCTTAATCCTTTTATGTATAATTTCTTGAGAAATCATGATCCCTTTGGGGAAATTATAAGCATGAGGAGAGGGTGGAAGGACTGTAAGATTGACTAAAAGAATAAGTTTTAGTAAATAGTTCTATATTTTTATATACCAAAATTAAGATAAGTTAATGGATAAACTCTTGTATATGGGCAACTTTCTTGTCTATAACCAAATGTTTACTCTTATAGTCTGGGAGGTCATGTAACTACTGCACAGCTGTTCTCTGCTCCTGATGGGCAGAATTAATATCCTGTGTTTGCCAATGGTTAGACTTTTATATCACACAAGCAATCTGAATCCTGACTCTGTTCACTGGCAAGGATCCATTTTCTTTAATATTAAAGTTGCACTCTTGGAAAAGAAGAAAATAAAAATATTTGCTTCTTATTATAAATATTCCAGAACCTGTTGGTAGCTGATACCTGTTCCATTTCAAAAAATATTGTTTGGAAACTTGGAAGTAGGTCTAAAATATATGCCTGGGATACCAATAAAGGATCTAACCATGAGTCTGAACAAATGTAGTTACAAGAACATTTTTTGTGGTTTAAAAATAATAACTAAAACTCGCCTTTTAAGCAAACTAACTGGGAAATGATTGTTTGTACAATTTGGCACAGTCCTACATACACTGTTAGACACGTCTTAGGCTTGAGAAGCTAAGACATTTAGTGGTGTGTGTTAGACTGTACATGGAAAAGTCCACAGCAAAGACTCTATCCATGACAAGTGTTCAGCATTTACAAGCTGATGGGAGCTAACTCTGCTCAGCCCCTGCAGACACCAAGTCTGCGTCTAGATTGGCATGATTTTCCGGAAATGCTTTTAATGGAAAAGTTTTCCGTTAAAAACATTTTCGGAACAGAGCGTCTAGATTGGCATGGACGCTTTTCCGCTTTTTTGCGGAAAAGCGTCCGTGCCAATCTAGACATGCTTTTCTGCAAAACAGCCCCGATCACCATTTTCGCAACCGGGGTTTTTTTGCGGAAAACAAGTCTGAGCTGTCTACACTGGCCCTTTTGCACAAAAGCTTTGCGCAAAAGGGACTTTTGCCTGAATGGGAGCAGGATAGTGTTTCCGCAAGAAGCAATGATTTCTTACAGTAGGAAGTCAGTGCTTTTGCGGAAATTCAAGCGGCAAGTGTAGATAGCTGGCAAGTTTTTCCGGAAAAGCGGCTGATTTCCCAGAAAAACTGGCCAGTCTAGACACATCCCGAGTCTTTTTGGCAGCACAATTATTTGCTGGAAAAAGCTGTTGAAAGCATAAACCTTTAAATGGCACTGCAAAGGGGATTCAACCTACAGAGAAGGGAGTCTACTTTCCATATTCTTAAAATACTCATAATAATGTTAATATGCAAGAAATAAGGGCCAGATCCTACAACCCTTAGCTATAATGATTAATTCGGGGGTCTCAAACTCCTCCTGGTCCACAGGCCAGTCCCAGCCAGAGTGATTGTAAGACCATACACCTGACTGTATTAATAACAGTAAAGATCCTCTGGATGTAAATCCCAATAGATTTTACCTCCTGAGTTAAAAGGGACTATTCATGAGTAAATGCTATTGGCTATGTCTAGACTGGCAGGATTTTTCGCAAATGCTTTTAACGGAAAAGTTTTCAGTTAAAAGTATTTGCGGAAAAAAGCGTCTAGATTGGCACGGACGCTTTTCCGCAAAAGCACTTTTGCGGAAAAACTTGCAAGTCTAGACACAGACTATTCAGTATGAGCAGAACCTAGCCTTAAATGCACTGTATATTCTGAGACACAGAAACATCTTCTGGCTGACATTCTTCATAGTATTTTTAGAGTTTGTGAAAATATTTATTCCCAGGATCTAACTAAAGGTACAAGAATTATTCCCTCTGTTTTAATATTCAGAATGAAATAGAAACATACCTGAAGAAATTCAGAATTACAGTATGTAAGACTCCAGTGGATTGCGAAATGGAACTTGTGCAATATGTAACAGTGTTCTTGTGTATGCATCACAATGTCCAGGTAACACTGCCAAGCAACAACTCTTCCCATAAAAACAGAAATACTGTAATCTTTTAGGCAAACTCAATCTGAGCTGCCTAAAACAGTAACCTCTAGAGAAATTATTGACCAGAAAACCTTCAACGTGTACTTTACCCCATGTCTTCTGTATATTTTACATTAATTATTATTATACAATGTCTTGTCTTTGAGTTTAAAGACATATTTTTTCACTTGAGATGATATTTTTCCCTTCTCCAAAACGTCATGTCACACTATCTTTGTATTTGATTCTAGGCTGCATAGCTCTTATTTCTCTTCATGTGAACTATCAGTTCACTGTCTCCTGATATAATCTGGGTGACAGATTATATCTTGGAGGCAGGGCAAGACAATGTAAGTAGTCTGATTCTGCTCCTGTTCAACTGTTCACCAAGAGCCAAACAAAATGTGGCTTGTGACGTATGGACAGAATTGTCCATACGGGGTGAGAGGAAGGCAGCTCCTCTCTCTGCAATTCAGGAGGTGCTCAGGGAAACCTTGGCTCTGGATGGAGTAGACTTCAGGACTGTCCTAACGTGAAATTGTAACACAGTGGTCACTGCTAGGACATCAAACTATTAGTGCATTTGAATATTCTGACTTGTGATGACCCTGATCTACAATCACCAATTAATCTGCTCTGTCCTATTTGTCCTACTGTGGAACCTGCAATGCTACTTATATATGGGCAGTGATAGAGAGTAGGAAAAGTTGGTTTTGTCCCTCCAGTACATTGTGATGCCAACTGTCACAGTTTTATTTTTCGAAACAGGATATTTGATATTTAAGTCCCAGATCTAGGATTTATGTAATTATGTGAGCGACAAGGAGTCCTGTAGCACCTTATAGAATAACAGATGTATTGAAGCATAAGATTTCATGGGCAAAGACCCACTTCATCAGATGAATGTGATGAAGTGGGTCTTTGCCCACGAAAGCTTATGCTCCAATACATCTGTTAGTTTATAAGGCGCTACAGGACTCCTTGTCGCTTTTGCAGATCCAGACTAGCACGGCTACCTCTCTGATACTTGAAATTATGTGAGAATCTCAATTTGCTTGCTTGTTTTGTAAGATTTTTAGCCCTCATGATTGAATATAAATTCTAACATTTCTAATACTGAAAGCAAATAAAAATACCTAAAATTGTATTATTTTACATCTCATTAGTTTTAAGCCAATCATACACATTTTTGAAATCTGAGTCATGACTTTGAAATTTTATGAGGTAGGTAATATTACTTTCAGGTGTACTATCCCCAGAGAGAGGGAGTAATTTTCTCTATAGGGAATATTCTTGAGTTACCTTTTTGCCCCAGCCTTGTTGGCTCAAAAAGGTTGTAGGGCAATGATGAACTGGATCTCTTTCAAAGGATATGGTTGAAAGTAAGACAATGGCCAAACTCCACTCCATAATAGTGAGCAGAGCTAGCTGTGATCAGGGAAAGGATAAATCATGTTGCATCTATCGGAAAAGGATGATAGTGTGGCAGTATTTTCTACCCAGGAGGAAATCTGGATGAGTTATCCAGAATTGGTTCTACTACTGTGCAGCCGATCTGCAAACACATTAATAAAGGGCTTTGCTTTAAGGCACAATCTAATCTTAAAACCCAGTCTAAACTACATAAAGAGGTTTTTTATTTAAAAATCATGAATTAACATTTTAAAAGCATCTTTTTTAGTCTACACAATGCCTAAGTGTGTTACCTCATTTCTAAGAAGAATCCTCATTCTTTTCCTTTTTCAGAATAGTCCAAAGAGAATTGAAAATAGCACAGGTAACTTGTCTCTATTCCCTTTTCTAAAGAAAGCAGAGACTTTCTAAAAAAAAAGCTGTTTTTACTTCTCCAGAATTAATCAGGTCAGGGGGTACATTTCATAGAGCTTAAACAAAAGCCAAAGGCAGGGATTCATAGATGTATATTGTGTCCCCTTTATGCCAACTCTGCTAGTTTAAGAGACCACAAAACATCTGTATGGCCTTCTTTATGGGGTTTCAGAGGTCTTCTTGGGCAGAGTCAGAACTGGCATAACTGCTTCTGAGATGTCTCCTTTGCCCTTGAAAAAGAGTATGTTAGGCTATGTTGAGAACAGGCACAGACAGCTGTGAGTGGTAGTATGCAACCGGCTATGCTAATCCCAGGAAAACAATATTCTGTAGATTTTTTTCCTTTTTGGCTGTATCTACATTCAGAATTCAGGGAAATCTTCTACTTGAGGCATACATGAGATGGTGGTAAAACATATATGGCTTTAGAAAGGATCACAATGAAACTACACTTGAAGGCTGTGTCTACATTGGCACCCTTTTCCGGAAAAGGGATGCTAATGAGACACTTCGGAATTGCAAATGCCGCAGGGGATTTAAATATCCCCACGGCATTTGCATGAACATGGCAGCCGCTTTTTTCCGGCTCGGGGTTTTGCCGGAGAAAAGTGCCAGTCTAGATGGGATCTTTCGGAAAATAAAGCCTTTTCCAGAAGATCCCTTATTCCTCTTAAATTCAGGAATAAGGGATCTTCTGGAAAAGGCTTTATTTTCCGAAAGATCCCATCTAGACTGGCACTTTTCTCCGGCAAAACCCCGAGCCGGAAAAAAGCGGCTGCCATGTTCATGCAAATGCCGTGGGGATATTTAAATCCCCTGCGGCATTTGCAATTCCGAAGTGTCTCATTAGCATCCCTTTTCCGGAAAAGGGTGCCAATGTAGACACAGCCTTCAAGTGTAGTTTCATTGTGATCCTTTCTAAATCTATGGGTTTGAAGGGAAGTAGATCCAATTTGGGCTACTTGGGAAAAGAGAATTTGGGGTGCCAAAGATTCAGTCCCTAGAAGCAGGGGATTTGAGGTGTGGGAAGAAAGTTCATGTTTAGGACAGGCAGAGGCTGATGCTCAGTGAGGTTTGACCTTGGGGATTAAGGAAGGTTGGTCTGTGGTGCTAAGGCAGTTTGGTCTAAAAAGTTTGGCTCTGGGGAAGGGAATGTTTGGCTCATGGTGGGATTTGCTCGTTTGGGTCCTGGGGCACAAGGGCTGCTACAATGGGAGTTCTGAGAGCCACAATGGGAGTTCTGATGGGGAGTCAGTTTAAAAACCAGCTCTCCTTGTGGACCTGTGCTGTCGCCCTGTGCCTCTGCCTCTGATAAAGACCCAACTGTAAACCCTGGACAGAATGGCTATGTCTACACTGCAGGCTTCTTGCGCAAGAACTGTTTTGCGCAAGAGTTCTTGTGAAAAAGGTATTCCACAATAGTGTATCCACACTGCTATGTGCTTTTTCGCAAGAGATGTGATTTTGCACAAGAGTGTCCATGGCAGTGTGGATGCTCTCTTGCACAAGAAAGCTCTGATGGCCATTTTAGCCATAGGGGTTTCTTGCGCAAGAAATTCATGTTGCCTGTCTACACTGCCTTCTTCTGGAAGAGCTCTTGCACAAGAGGGCTTATTCACGAGAGGGGAGAGGAATAACTCTTCCGGAAGAATCCCTGTTTTCTGACGCTTTACTGTAAATTTACTTGCGCTAGAATGTGCATGCAGTGTAGACATTCTGCAAGTTTTTGCGCAAGATCAGACGTTCTTGCGCAAAAAGCCTGCAGTGTAGACGTAGCCCAAGGGTATATATACACTACTGGACAAAGTCTAATTAAGTTATGCAACTTCAGTTATGCAAAGTCTAATTAAGTTAATTGTATAGCTGAAGTCAAAATAGCTTAACTCGGCTTTTGGCACTGTCTACACTAGGGATATTAAATATCGGTTCATTGAATAGTCAAGTAACCTCATGAATTCTTATTGGTTAGTCGACTAGTCTATAGTCCCTGTGGGCAGGGCCAGCAGCCAATGTGCTCTGGCCTCGCTCCCAAGAAGATCTCTGCCACTCTGCGCTGCTGCCACTGTATCAGAGACAGCAGCAGGGCGTGCCTGGTGGGAGCTGGTCTGTGATGGGGAATCAGTTTAATACCCATCTCTCCTTGTGGACCTGTGCTGTCGCCCTGTGCTGCTGCCTCTGATAAAGAGGCAGCAGCACGGGGTGACAGCAGCCCCTATCTAGGGTGTGATCTTAACTCCTGGATCTGGCGGCACAAGCCAGAACTGAGCTGGGCTGCTGGCCAGTCTGCTCAAAAAATTACTGGCAAGTGGTGATGGGGGGGAATATGTGTAATCTATAGTATTCATTTATAAGCTTTTGCTTATTGGTTACTCAGTTAATTAACTACACTTTTACATCCCTAGCCTACACAGCAGGATGTGGAAGGGAGAACACTCTTCCTTCAACTTCCCTTGCTCCTCATGAAAGCTGGGATACCGGCATTGACCACAGTCCCCCTCTCACTTCTCATTAGCTGTCTCGACTGGACCACTAATTCGAACCCCGGAAGATCAACAGCGGCAGCTTTGATCTTCCTCTGTAGTGGAGACGGACCCTAAGTTACAAAGCTCCGGCACCGCTGCTGGATCCTGGGGAGTTCATGTTGGGGGGGGGGGGCGCCGGGGGGGGGGGGGGGCCGGGGG